GTATAGTTAGGATAGAGTGGGGCATATGACGCACATTTTCTCTTATGAATTTGAAAACACTTGAATTCTGCTGTTCATGCAATTTTGGGATAGTCGGTGGCTTAAGTGTGTAAATAAATTATTGCTTTCTTTTCTGTAAACTAACAACGATGTGATAAGTTAAGGTAAATATTAAAGATTTTGTGTTTGTGTGATAAGAATGTTAAGATTCACTATTAAACAATAAGATCCGATAAATGGTAGGTAAGCTACCAGTAAAAAAAGCGTTAAAGTGAATTTCGCGAAAAATTATATTCAAATGATAGCAAAAAAAAAAAAAAGCTGAGAAAAAGTAGTTTTACTTATATGTGAAGATTATATTTTTGGGTACAATAATTTTGCGCAAATTTTTGGTATATTGAAATATTATAAAAAATATATATGTGTGTTTTTGCACATAGAAAAAAGCTATTGATAAACAGTTAATTAACGCTGATGATAAAATAATGCATTTTTAATGAAGTTTGTAGAAATTTTTCTTTCGCAGTAAACACACTAATTGATTTCGAATTAATTTCAATATTTAGGTTAGAAATTATTTCGTCAAAGAAAAGGTGCGGCACATCCTCCTATCATAACCTACTGTGTGAAAAATACCTTATTATATGCCACAACAACTAATAGTTAACTTACTACTACAGTCCAGTAAACGATTTGAGTTCGAGTGGAAGTTGACATATTCCAGTGGTTTATTTAGGATGTTAAAATTATTACAAATATAGTCGCATTTCAACGTTGAAGCGTTCGATGATTCAGGAGTTTTGAGATTTGACATTGCACAACGTATTGTTGCATTTGTATTTAAAGACAGTTTGTTGTTGTTGTCGTTGTTGTACGTAATTTTGTTGTTAATGGTAGTTGTATGATTTTGTTTAATAGCCAAAAAGTGATTAGTAAATTTGTTTAAATACAAAAACGATTCAACGGTGTTGTTGATATTTCCAACGGGATCGTGAGCGACAAGCGTTTGCGGTGAATTGTTTGTGTTTAGAGGAGGCAAAGCATTGTGACCAGCGATTGCATGTGTCAGTGCATTCGTTTGAAGATTTTGTAAGGTGCAGAGATTTGCGTAAGTGTTGGTAGCGTGTTGTTTAGCATTTGGGTAGAAAATGTGCGTTGAATTGGCGGATATACTTGTAGTTGCATTATCATTGTTTAGTAATGATGGTGATGGTGATTGCGATTGTGATGATGATAATGATGTATGTGCAGATAATAATGAGGATGATTGAGCGGTGGCAACCAATGTGGGCGTTGTTATTATTGTTGTTGTGTTAGTAGTTAGTGACGTTAAATTAAGCCGTTGCATTTGTTTAATTAAATTATTATTAGCGGTTGTATTGTTGTTAGTGGTAGTAGCAGTAGTTGTTGTTGCAATTTGTTCCAACGTTGCACATGCAGAGAAGGAGGAGGAGGAGGAATCAACAGTTAAGTTATCAAGCTTAGTAGCCATCACCATAACTTGGTCTAGATCCAATAGTAAAGTGTGAACATGTGATGCTAGTCATTTTTTTTGTAATTCATCAGCATTGATTTCATTGTTATTGGTAGTTGGTTGGTGTTATTGTTAGTAGAGACAGATACACAAGTGTTTTTGTTAATTAATTAACAAAATGAAAAATGTTTGGTAAACAACTTAAATAAACACTAAATTTTATTAGGTAGTAATAATTATTGTAGTAAATAGAGAAAAAAAATTTTTTTTGAAAGCGAAAAGAAAAAGAGCAAATTAAAAAAAGCAATTGTACTTTTTAGAAATTTCTATGTTCGAGCATCTATACATATGTACATATGTATGTATTAATGTAATATATAAACATTTTTAATTTGAGTATTTAATTTTATTCAAATAGGAGAAGTTATCCTGGAGGATATAATATATAATGAAATAAATATTAAAACAAGCAAACCCGTTAAGTACGGTTACACAGAAGCTATAACACCCTTCACAAATAAAAAAGTTTTTTTACAAGAACTTGATTTTGATGGTTCAGTTTGTATGACAGCTATATATATTATAGTGAACCGAGCTGAACACTTTCTTCGGATATTGCATTACTATCTTTGATAATAATCCATGTGAAATTTCGTGAAGATATCTTGTCAAACAAAAAAGTTTTCCATGCAAGCACTTGAGTCCGATCGCTCAGTTTGTATGGCAGCTATGTGCTATAGTGGCTCAATATCGGCGGTTGCGACAAATGGGCAACGTCTTAGAGAGAAAAGAACGTATGCAAAATATCACATCAATATGTCAAAAACTGAGGGACTAGTTCGCGTATATACAGACAGACGGTGGACAGACACTGATAATTTATATACATATATACTTAATAGGATCTCCGACATTTTCTGTTGGGTGTTACAAACTTCGTGGCAAACTTAATATACCCTGTTTATGGTACAAATATTATACTAAATTTTGTATTTTTATTTTTGTACTAAATTCAGAATTTGAATATGTTATCACTCGATAATAACGGTAAGCCAATAATACTTGTTGATAATAATACTGATTTCTTGGGTTTTGGCACATAGATTAATTAATTCTTTTGTTGTAAACTGCAATAATTTAACTCTAAAATTACTTGAAAATTTGCTAAAAAAGTATTACGTCAAATTAATTTGTACATATTACGAAATTTTAATTGAAAACTAACACAAACACAAGTTGAATGAAGTATTTTTCTAGCTTAATGGCATTGGAAAATTATTTAACGTTGCAAACTTACACACATTTCGCACGCGTTAATACATTTGTGCTCTTATTTTCTCACGCTTTTTGCTATTAGCACAGTTGCATAGTTAAAAACGAAGCAATTTCCATGCAGTTTGCAAATATATAAGTAAAAGTCATAAGTAAAGCAATTGTAAAGCATTTATACGACTTGAGAGTAGAAGAACACACGTTGCTTGGCGATACGGCATGAATTGTAGAAAATCAATTTACAAATAAAATAAAAGAAGTTTGCTCAAAACATATACATATACAAATGTTGCATTGAAACAAAATGAAATTTGTTATATAAAAAGGAGTATGGAAAAAATAGACACAAAGCGCATATCTGTCGAATGGCTTGCAGAGAAAGCGTTTTAGTTTTGTAATAGCTTTAGACTTTAAAATGTGTGTTTTATGGTTAAGTATATAGAATAGTTTACACAAAATTTGCTTACCGTCAAGTGGATTCACTAATCCGGCGCCTTGCCAATCGAATTCAACATCAGGTACATCCGTTTTCTTCGCATAGCTGCTCATGTCCGCTTCGACAGCGCTGCCACTCGTATTTATACTATATTGCATGGAATCGGCATCGGCATATGTTGTGTTTGGCACAGCGTTGGTTGTTTGTGGTTTCATGGGCTTTAGAGGATTAAAACTGAGATTGGCAGCAAAGCGTGGCATAGATGGATTCCAATTATCACCGAAGAGCTAGCAAAATTATGAAATTAAAAAGGGTTTAATACAAAAATTTTAACTTCTGCACAAATTTTAACCTTACAATGTTTCTCGAATCAATGCCGATCGCACGTATAAGGGCGTGTCGCATTTCGGATTGTGGCCATTGAAATTCTAAGGCTTTGGCAGCTTCTATTGCTTCAAAAGAAAGTGTATCGGTAATTTTGTTGGTGACTTTTGCTGTTTGTTCCAACTCATTATCATCAGCTGTACTTGTCATTTCGGTTGGAAACATCATTTTTAGCACTGTCCCCAAACGTTCACCTATATTGCCATTAGCAGTAATTGTTGTTGGCGTTTGTTTTTGTACAACTGGTGTGGCAGAGGTGAATTGACTTGCAGGCGTTTCAAAAGAAGCCTCTTCGAAATCGCCAAAGTCATCATCGTCGTCATTGTTGAACGAGTTTGCTTCAGACTCGACTACTTTTCCCAAAGGTTCAAAACTAACAATTTTTAATGGTTCCGTTTGCGGATTGGTATTATTGTTTTCTGCTGTTATGCTTAATGAATTCGGTGCTGATATGATTGGTAGAACAGCCGGTGTCGGTGTCGATGCTGGAGCTGAAGAAAAGTTTTGAAAATCATCAAAATCATCCTCATTATCCTCGGCTGCGATAGCAGTATCCGTGGGTGGCTTCACGAAAGAAAAAATATTATAATGTATGTATGATTATTTTATGAACTAATTGCATATATCTACCTCGACTATATCCCGCACATTTTCGTTGCTATCAACTACTGATGTTGTAATCAAATCCGACGTAACTAAACCGTTATTATCTGGGGGTTTTATAAAATTGGTTGCCGTTTCGAAATCGGCAAAGTCACCAAAATCATCTTCCTGCTCTTCTGGACTATTTAAATTTGCACTTTCAGTTTGCGGTAAATCATTCGAGATATTATTATTGCGATTTAAAGAGTTATTCTTATTTATATCATCAGCAAGCGATGAAAATGTATCTTCTTTTGTTGAAGGCGGTGTTTTAAGAACGTGAATTGCAAAAAAATCTTCCGAATCATTATCAACATTGCTCTCCAGAGTTGTCGTTGGGGATATGGGGGATTTTTTGGGGGAACGGTAACACTCATCATCGCTACTATCATCAGCTAAATCTTCTAGTACCACCAGGCCAGTTAATGGGGGAGGGTTTTTTGGATTTATTGTCGTGAAATTCGTTTTTACTTCAATTTCCAGCTCATTTGTTGCTATATTACAATCTTCAATTTGACTATCTTGTTTAGTTGTAATTTCAGCAAAGTTCGCTGTAATGGTAGGAGATTGATTTTGGGTAGTACATGTAATTGTAGTTACTTTCGCTTCGTTAACATCAAAATCTAACTGTTTATTATCAGTCATATTATGATGCGTCGAAGGTATATCTGAATTACTAATATGTTTTAGTTCTCCTATAGCATCTGTCGTTTGGGTGCTATTGGCTGAAAATGTCTGTGTTACGTTATAATTAAACGCTTCGTTTAGCTGAGTCTGTGTTGTTTTGACATCTTCATTTGCTATAGAATTGTTTAATTCGGAAGAAGATAATGATATAGCGCCACAATCTTCCAAAGCGGGTGGGATATCCGTAAATCCACTGGTCGTCGATGAACTTAGCTCAAACTGTAACGGTGTGCGAGGTAACGAAGATACTGTAGAAACAAAGAAAAAAAAAAAGAAGTCAATATTTATAAAAAACACAATTACTTATTATTATTATTAAATATCAAAATTTCATATGAAAATAAATTCTCCATTTTAAAATAATTTTCTTACCTTCGGCATTGGTTGTATCTTCATTTATGTCTGTACCCAACGCAAAATCACCATAATCATCTTCATCTTCGAGAGTTAACGTGGGCGGCAAACCGGAATCGTCATCCTCTTCACCAAAATCTATTGGCGGCGGAGTGTTGCAAAGTAGCGGCGGTATTGCGGGAATCCCTGCCATGCCTTATCAATTTTATTGTATTAAAAGTTAATGTGTCTAGAATAATTAGCAAGTGTTTTTGAAATTAGTATTAAATTGCCAACAATCGTTTTATACTTGCATACAATGAGACTCACTTCAAAATACTTGAGCTGCACCTCAGTTTATTATCGTGAATGCGTCATCAAAACCGAATTCATATCACGCTCACCTTATCGAGTTTTGGCCACGTTAGGAAAGGGGAACGGACAATTTATTATATATACACAGTGATTTTTAGCAACAAGACCGAATCAAATGATTTTTCAAGTAATCAACGAGTTCAATGCCTTATATTTTGTGGTTATTCCACTTAATTTATCGCATGAAATATTGAAGCACCAACTATTAAATAAAACATATAAATATAAAAGTATGTTTTAAGTATTCTGCTATTTGTTAAGAGATCTAAATATGTATGTATGTCGGTTGTGCAAAGATGTCAAATGAAAATATACAGATGATCGACATAAAATTTTAATAAACACTTCCGATTTATTTACAAGAATTGTACCTATGCCCAAGTTTCTGTTTATAAGTTTTTAAAACCATACAAAATATCTGTATGTATATATGTATGTATATTTTGTATTTTCACCTTCACAAATCGCACCAGCTGGAAAGTTTTTTGTGTACCTATTTGACAATACTAGAAAGATTCGCAAAGCCTTTCAGTTGAATTACCTCCACGGTAGCGCTACATATACTATTTAATTACTACACTTTTTTCCGTTTATTAATCACAGCTTAAAGTACTTCATTTCTTTTTATTTAAATATTTTTCGTAATATTATATTTCCTCATGACGTTTTTCATCTCGAACAATTTTCCAAATGTGCAAAGAAGTTGACATACCAACACTTGAATCAGAGCACGTATATCATAATATCATAATATACGTTCTCTGCTTGAATGAAATGCTCAGTGTTGCCATATTATTCTTTAGTTAAAATTTTAGGATGTATGAATATTGTAACGGATTTCTCGATAAATCGTCTACCCATAACTCACTATTGAGTTCGATCATTGGAGTGTTAAATTAAAGTCCCAATTAAATGGCAATACACTTATCTTTATTTCTAGTTCAAACAACTTAACACTTATTACTCGTTATTCAAGTTTACATATTATTGTTTATAGTTAGCTCAATGGCTCTTTGTAAGGCAACAACTTAGAAATGTCCCTGCTGCACGATCCGGCAGCCCTTATATAGTAGATCTTTAACAAAACGTCGCCACTAAAACATTCTGGCAACTACAATTTTGCTGTCTAGTTGGTTTTGGTAATTTATTGTCGGTTCGATTTTGTTCTATCATCCATGTTCGTCACAATATGTTGTAAAAGCGTTATATTTTTATTTCATCATTATTTTAATAAAATTGTCTTTGTATGAAAAGTTAAATACTCGATTTCATGAATTTATAAAAGCTATTTATAAAAAATAACTTAAAACTTGTGTAATCAGTTTTCAAAATATTGTTTTACTGCATGATGGCACTTCTGCTATTGCATAGTTTGTCAGCTGGCAGCCTTCAAGTGTCGCATCTGCTATTCACTTTCAAATCAAACCATTTGATTTTAGTAATCGTATTTTTAAACGTGAGTTACCCTGTGCTTGGTATGTCATTTCCTTTTGGCAGTTAGAGCTTTGTCCTTCCGGAATTTCATTCTTAATCGCTTCTTTTAATTTAAGTTGTGCAAATCGCAATGAAGTTTAATTATAAGTGCAAGTTATTTACAAATAGATAATGGAAGGTTGCTGAGACTGCTGGTTGCTTGTCCACAGCTTAACCCAATGCACTTCGGGCTGAGTGGCACAGATTTTGAGCAGTACAGTGTATTTGCAGCTTGTTTAGTATTGCGAGCCTATTTGTGTATTTATAACAACGCAGTTTTTAAAGTCTTTGAATATCATTACGTGTGAATACATGATGTCATAATACGTACTTATGTACACATGTATACTAAATTTTGTTGCAGTATCACTTTACTACTGTTATTAGTACATCCTTTTCAGCTGGATGAGCCGAAACTAATTTATGTATGTTCATTTGTGTCCTATGGAGAAAAATCTCATTTTAAAGACTACTCGCGTAATTTTTTGTGGTCATTAAATAAACATTAAAAACAAATTCATATTTTTAATTTTATTTATTATTTTTTGTTGTAGTTTTTATTTATTATTAGTTTATCTTAAATCTATCTTTTTGTTTATTTATTTACTTTACATGTACGTTAGCTAGCTTCTTCACATTAAGCTAATTTATGGTGTGTATGTGTGTCAGTGTGTTAATTAAGTATAACTACATACATAAGTGTATGTTAAATATCTTCATTTATAGTAATTATAATAATAATAATATTTAAAATGTTTCACAGACACAAAATGATTAGGACATATTCGTCTTCGAGATTTCCTTTTCAATACATTTCACTCGCATATATTTACAAATACTTCACAATAATCCACATATACTAAAATAACAATGAAAGCATTAAGTACATAAATACATATACATATATGTATGTACCATATAGTATACATATGTTCTATATATATGTATATGTATGTAAGCTCAGTAATTTTTGTTGCCTGACTTTAAATAAAATATTATTTCATAACTGTTTCACTAACATATCGTACATACATATACAACACATGAAAATATACTTAGAACTAACAAGTACATGTATGTACACTATGTATGCTAACTTTGCTGTACTTAAGTTTACGCTATTAATGCATTACATAATCTATTTTCACATATTTAATTGTAATTGACACAAAGATTCATAAGTCAGAATGAGTTCATTTATTTTTTTTCCTGTTATATTTAACAAAAATAAAGTATCTAAGTTTGAAAATAACAATATTTTTTACTTTAATTCTCTTTTAATGAATTTTTAAAAGAAATTTGTGTGTAACTTCAAAAAGGAATATCTGTTAGTTTTTTGTTTGTAATAGCATTTGCATACGTTTAAATGTATGTGCTTGTGTGTACTTGAGTATTTAAATATATATATACCATATTTATGTATGTCTTTATACTAAAAGTATGTCTTTAAGTATATTTACTTATAAAAGAATGTCTAAACCTAATTATTACAAGTCATTTTTTGCTTTGCTCTTAACCAATAATAATATTCACTGGAGTGCAAATATAAATTACAATCACAAAAATATTTATATATAATTTATAAGGAGAAATCCTTCTTATTTTGCTTGCTTATTTGTTATGCTCATAGTAATTAATGAAGACATTATCGACGGACAAGTGCATTTGCGTTTTTTCGCTAAAAGCAAGAGAGTGCATTGGGGCTGCCATCGGTCAGGTCAGTCTGCTTGAGTTGAGAGGGGAAAGCATTTTCATAATATCTAAATAATATTTACATTTTTGTAAACAAAATATTATGGGAAAATTAGAAATTGTTTTAAAATATAAAAGAAAATCTGATAACATGTCAGTCTAAACACGGTTAAAGAAAATTACATAAGATTAAAAAAGTATCAGGATTAGAAAAAATCAGAGAGAGTTTCGTTACTCTCACTTCGCTCACAGTAAATTTGTTAGTGTGATGTCACTTTAGATATATATTTTTTTTTATCATTAACTGAATATTTTGAGATTGGATAAGATTATTCGTAAGCAAACCTGGTTAGAAATTTTGTAAATAATAAAGTTAGAAGAAAGTTTCTAAATAAAACTAATGTAATGTAATAGTAGGATACAAAGTATTGAAGAAGTGCGATTCTAGTTCTTGGCTTATATTCTTTGAATTCAGAAACATATTTTAGGTGTTAAAATTATATAAAAATTAAAAGTTTGTTCAAAAAAATATTAAAAAAAAAACAATTTTGTATCATATTTTCTAGTTATTTTAAAAACTGTATTATTCGAGTTTATTTTTAAATTGGATTTTAAGTTATGGATAAACTTAAAAAAAAAATCGAAATAGAAAAAAAAATGTAATAAGTAACGGAAATAAACTGGAATGAAAAATTTTGAAAGTTTTTGGTATCGTTTAAATGTTAAAAAAATATCGATAAACTACTAACATCAGTTGTCGATACTTTTTCTTTACTTTTTGTAAATAAATAATCAATATAAAAATAATAAGATTTTTGTAAAGATATTTTTCCAATAGGACAAATTTTGTTGTCGAAATACTTGAGGTATTATTCAGACTTATGTGTTGATCGAATTCACTTTTCTATTTTTTCTCCAATATTTAGATTTAATTTTTGAATCTAATTTTAAACTAATTTTCTTAAGACTTTGAATTCGAAAACGTTTAACGCATATTTTTGTGTAAATTAATACAATCACAAGATATTGAAAAAATTATTTTTTTATGAAAAATCGTTAAAAAAGGGTGGATAATATGGGTGTATTAAAGCGGATCAGAATGAAATTAAAGTTGCTTGTTTCCTGACACAATTTAAAATCGATATTTTTTAAGAAACATTATTTATCGATTACATTTCGTTGTCAGTTTGACAAGAAGCAAAAACAGTTATAAAACAGCAATACTCTATATGAACTGGAAGCAACTTACATTCGGTAAACAATGTGCTGAGTTTTTCTACAAACATACATACATCCATTGACCGTTAATCACTATTAAATACAGATTAATTGCTTTGCGTAAAGCACTTTCGACCACCTTCCCACAGTACTCAAGCGCACATCTATTGCTTATAACTATTAACCCTTAACTAACTAGATTCTCCACATCGGACAACAATACCTCCAAGTCGGATGGCAGTTCGTGCTCCCCTTCCATACGTGCCAGACCAATGTGGCTGGATGCCACCGCCACAGATGGCAACGGCGGTGGATGGTAATTATGTTGCAGTTGTCTTATAGAATTGGAACGTTTTTGTTGTTCCGAAGGGGCGGTGGCATTGGAATTGGCAGTGATGGCTAGTGATGGTGCTGCAGTGGATTGTGCGCTGCTACGACTACGTCGATGCTCGTGGCGTACGGGTGCGTGGTGACTACTGTGGCTGAGGTGGCTTGCGTGACTACCCTGACTGCTGTGACTGGACTGACTACCTGTGACGACTAGTTGATCCACATCGGTTATGCGACTGAAATTGCAAAGACCGCCATTTGTGTTGGCGGCGCTTGCATTTGCGCCACTGCTGGCAGCGGCACTTAGACTGGCACGTGGTATGTTGCTGAAGCTGGTGCGCGCAGCTGGTAGAGCCGCTGAGAAAGCGTGGCTAGCTGAGCTTTGGCTCGCGGACTTTGGCTGGTGTTGGTAGGCGGTGCTGCTAGAGCTTCGTCGTAGTTGACGTTCCGTGGGCGCGGGCGTAACTACAGTGGCAGCGGCGTTGCTAGCGTGTGTAGAAGTGGTTGTGTTGGTGGTTGCGGTGGCTATGGAGTTTTGTGGATCATTCGAATAGGTACTGGGCTGATATGTGGCGACCGCATTATTGCTACGTAAATTCATATTGGAATTGCTGCGCCGCGTCGCTATAGGCGGATCCTTACCATTCTTTGCGGCGCTATTCAGCTTCAGATTCAGACTACTGCGTTTCTTTGATTTGGCTAGATGATTTTGATTTTGCGTTATTTGGCCAAGGTTTTGTGTGCTACCAAAGTTGCGGCCCAAATTGGCTGCACTCGCCGTTGGCTGCTGCGCGGTACTGCTATCGCTCAGCTTGCGCGCGTTTTGATTGGAGGCAAATGGATTGTTGGCTGAAAAGGAATTAGAGCGACTGTAGTTGTGTGCGCGTTGCTTTTGCGGTATACCACCGACGGCGTGCGCATCGGACGTCAGCTTACCGCCACTTAAACTGGCAGTTTTGCTGGACACACTTGCGTTTGCCGATGTTGCACAGATGTTGTTGGTCACTGCCGCCTCATTGTTGGCGGCCATGGCGGCGCGCATTTCGCCCGTCGCTGTGCTGCACTGCAGATTCTCATAGAACGGATTCTCCATTTTGGAGGGCATGGTTTTCGGATTGAGCGTCTCGTAGGTCGGTTCATTTAAGGTAAGTATTTGATTGTCTTCGTTATTATTACGGAGTAGCAGTGCAATGCGTTTGCATTTAACCTCGTCATTGCCACCGCTGCCCGAGTTCTTGCTACCCTCGCTATTTTGATTGCTGCTCTTGCGTTTGTTCTCGACGCCATTCGTACGTGTTTGCCGCTTAAGTTTGTTCGCTGCACCGCCAATTACATGCGTCTTCACTTTGGCGTTCTTGGAGAGTCGCAGCGCGAACTTAAATGGCGGTTTATATACAACTTGTAATTTCACTTTATCATTGACCAAATTCGTCACCGATTTGGACTTCTGCGGGGACTTTTGTACTAGACGTTCGGGCGTGGACTGCGACTTGCTCATCACTTTTCGTATTTTTGAAGAGTGTTCGATATGCGAAAGCGGTTGGACTACAATCGGCGATTCCAGCAGCCATTTCTGCACTTTACCGAAGGTATTAGTGTGCGCATTACCGCTGATGCTCGCCGCATCCTGTCCACAGCGCGATGAATAATCGATGATTTCTTTGTTGTGTTTCTTAAAACGCTTGCTCTTCGCTTTCACTTCGTTCTCCAACTTTGCGCCGCTGCCAGTGACCGCAAGTGACGCGTTTAATGCTGCCGCAATAGGAGTGGACTTCAGCGCAGCCGCGCCGCCACCACTACCAACACGATTTTTCTTAGTGCGCGTAGGTTTCACTGCCACCTCACCAACAGTGCCGCTAACAGCACCGCTAGCTGTTGTTGTTGCTGCTGTATTACTTGGCTTTCCATTGCGATTATGCGCGTGCGTTGCTTTCGCAACCAAATCGCCTGTTTTCGAGGTCGTCGCTTTGCCGCCGCTGCCCTTAGTTTTCCCAGCGCCTATGTTGCCACTACTGCCGCTCCTGTGCGCGCTCTTACTTTTGTTGGTGCGCTCGCCACGCACCTTTTTCTTGAACGGTACTTTTGTACGGACGGCCGTGTGCACGATGACGCCGTTGTTGTCGTCGGGTAGACGCACTGTTTCGGTGGTTGCGCTGTGTATGATGGTCACCGATTTTAGTTTCAAATTCGACCGCTTCGCCAACAGCTTCGTGCTGAGTATCTGTTTTGAGGGCGAATGAAATAAAATTTAAAGTAAATATTTTTAGTAACTCGTTCTTAAGTTCGTTGATGCCATTTTACAACATTTTTACATATAATTTAATGTATAGTGTTTCTAATTTTCAAAATAATATATAAATTAAATGAACTGTTAAAAAAGTTCACCAAACAGTGAAAATGTGGTCACATATGTTTATTGTCAATAAACATGAATTATTTAAAAGTAGGGCTAGGGTTGAGTTTTTTTTTTTAAAGTAAAATTGATTGACTGTGAAGTCCTAGTCCAATAGATCTTAAGAATTGATGTAAAAATTATCAAAATTATTACAAATTATCGAAGTCTCATGGTCACATTGTATGAAATTTTAAAGCTAGAATCAATGATCGGATGCGGGAAATCGGTCTTTTTGTTAAGCAGCAATTTTCTTTTATATTCATCTATTATAATTAAATTTTTTTTTGGTTTTGAGATAAGCGGGCGCCAGACGTTTTTTATTTCGGAGGTCCTTTGATCCTATAGCCGATTTCCATAAAGGCTATAGGATCAAAGGAATTCATACATTTTCAAAATGATTTGCCGATTGCATATATATTTGCACATTAAATTTTGTAAATATAAATTATTTTTATTTATTTATTAAATAAAATGTCTATTAAAAAAATCACGAAAAACATACATTTTTCTGACTTGTAATTTTTTTAATAATCACGAAAAACCTACATTTTTCTGACTTGTAATTTTTTTAATAATGATTTCCCTATTATTTTTTTTTTTAAACTGGCATATAAAGAAGAAACTTTAAAAACATTCGTAACACATTTTATTTCGTGAAAATTACGCCGGCTTCTTGAAAAAAAAAATCAATTCATAACGATAAACTCAATAATAGTAAAAAAAGAAAATATACCCATTTTAAAGAATATAGTACAATAATTTAAGCCTGTGAATATATCGCGACTAGATATTTTCAAGAAAATTGAATACAACATTATCGTTATAAGTTATTAATAGAATTTATCGAAATTGCATCCGACTATCGTCGGTTGTCACCTTCATCAATTGGAATTGTATTTCGCTTAGAAAGTCGTACAAAAGGTGTAAAAGGGTCGAAAAAATCTTAATGGTGAATTTCGCAAACATCTTCCGTAGATAACTATATCCTCGGTCATTTATTATTATACAGGACTAAAAGTCGTGGAATTTTTTGCATTTAATGTTGTATAACATACATAATAATGAGAATAAATACAGAATAGCATAAAATATACATAAAAGTATATTATGTATGTAGATGAAGTGATGAAAACAATTTTTTTTGCCATAGCTTCCATAAATACTAAATATGTGACAAAAGCTTAATGATCTCATATTATATAATGCACATGTAACCTTGTATCACGATCTAGCGATAATTACCAGCAGTCTTAGATTATATAAGTACATGCACTTACTATTCTCGCGCAATTGCATTGCAATCTTCTCTTCATACTCGTCATTAAGCATTTTCGTTGCAACCTTCATGATCTTTGAAGATTGAAAAACAAATAATATTCAAATGTCATAAAATTTAGAACAAAATGATTGAAATAAAATTTAAACAAAAATTTTTTGAAAATAATAAAAGAAAATCTATAATAATTGTTTATGGATTACTTATTATTTTTTTAAATATTTGTTTAGAATTATTGCTTTTCGAAAATTGGCAACACTGCATGGATTTTGAAAGTTTGAAGGAGGAAGTGTAAGTAAGTTCATTTTTATTTTAAATTCTTTTTAAAATATTTACATATACGTATTATTATATTTAATACAGTCTAACCATTGCGAATGAAATAAGTGAATAGATAAGTGTGTCACAAAAAAAAAACTAAATTCGAGTTAAAGACATTCCGATGCTTATTATAACGAACTTTCATATGTTATATTCTTTTTTTGCCGTTACGTAATTATTTATACCATTATAATGTCGCATACTAAATCCTCAATAAAGTCTCGCCAACTTACCAGCAACACGAATACGCCCAATGCCGCCAACACAACGGTATACCAATTATGCTGTACCCATTTCTTAAATGTGGCAATACTCTCCTCCGACAACAGTAATTTACGTAGCGTAGCTAACGGTCCCGATGGATCAACTTCGCGACATTTTTGGAATACGTCACAATAGCTATGAGAATTAAAAATTAAAGAAGAGAAACAAAAAACGTTTAATACACTGCCATATATGTATACTCTGTACATATCCAGCACTGAAGCATACGTGGCATGTGGCACAACACTCACCCATTGTAATCGTTGCACGGCGTGCCCGGCTTCGCATACATATCCGGCACATCAAACGGCGGCTCATTCCATTCAAACGAACTGCGACAGGCATTACCTTCTCCGGGCAATTTACAACATAATTCGCACGATTTAATTTTGTCATCAGTCGGTCCCGGTATGCATTGGCATGACTCGAGGCCATAGGCCAAACAAATACTACCCGTACACTCACCCATATAACATACGAATTCTTTGTTGCATATCGTCTTATTCGGTTTGTTCACCGATGGCGGACACTCTGGTCCGAGACCGTTACAGAAGCTCGGATCGCGACAGCCGTTGTCATCGCGACACTTATCGCCGAATTTCAATTTACAATCACCCGTACAGCATGGACCCTGCGATGGACTGCACATGGCACGCGGTGTCAAAGTGCATGGCTTTTCGTCGATGCGCGGATGACGTGACATCGGGAAACAACATGTATCCTTGCAATCCTCCTCCCAACCGCAGTCGCACTGTTCGTCACCCTCCACCACGCCATTGCCGCAAATGGACGCCTGCGGTTCGGTAAAACAGCCTTTGGCGCTACGTGCTTTCGCATTTAGTACGGGTTCGATGGATTTTAGTGAACATGGCGAGAATTTGTTGTTGTTCTTTTTATCACCGGACGTGGCGCGCGCAAACATTATGAAATTACCATCCTCACCGCCGGGTGTGCACTGTTCCGGATCATGCTGGTCAGTGGGCAAGAATACAAAGGCATGAAATGTGTGTAGGTCATAAGTAAAATTAGTTAGAGTGTGGGAAGGAAAAACCAAATTTAATGGAAATTTTTTGTTTTTGGCTTGAACTTTTTCTTTTAGGAAGTATTATTTTCTTCCTTGTTCAATTTTAATAAATAAAAAAATTTCCCTTTTTATTAAGACTCTAAAAATTATTCTAATATCTAATCCACTTTAAAGCATTGAACTTACAGGTGATCCGAAATTATGACCGATTTCATGTGCTAATGTCACATGCGATACAGCTGGAGGAACATGTTTACCATAATTTAGTAGTGTGACAATCCCTGTGTTCAGTGACTTCAAAGAACCGCGATAGTGCTGAAAAGTAGAAGCAATTTGAGTAACTTTCATAAATACAAATATTTTTTTGTTATATTTTCAAGTACAATTACTTTCTCCAATTTAACATATCGACAATTTTATAAAATAATATTTTAACTTACGCCATTCTTCTCACACACGCCGCCGGCATTTTTAAGATCACCAGTCCACGCCAAACCCAAAGTTCCCATCTCGAAGTCTCGATATGTAAACATATATGCCAGGCAAAATGCGTCATAATCTTCCTCTGATGTAGTGAAATTCAAATAAAGCGATACAAGTTTTTGTGAGGATAAATTGAATTATGTTTTTTTAAAAATACTTAAATTTTAGAACTCGTAAATACTGTATTCTTAAAGGATGATAATCATTTCGAAAATGTATAAGAATTTAATTTATGTATGAGAATTGCTTAAAACCTCACTTTAATACACTTAAATTACTGAATTAATACCCCTATTACGGTTTTCAAATTCACTCAGTTGAATTGAAGTTGATTAAATTTCAGATCAACCCAACAGCAACTACAATTCCTACTTTCCAGATTATTTTACGGTTTTTAGACAAATTCACAACTGTGAGTCTCTCAGATCGATTTCAAAATATAACTACGCCCAGGGGAAGGAATTGAACTCATCATTTTCAAATAAAGCAATAAAAATATAGTACAACGTGTGTAAAATGATGTAGCAAATATTTGGACATATTTTAAAGTAGAGTTGCCAACTATAAAATAAATTAATACTGAAAGTATTGCAAAATGTGTAACTATATAAGGTATAAAGTATTTGGTAAGAATATAACATATTTTGGAGTAGAGTTGGCAATCATTTATAATACTAAGACTGAAAATGTCACAAAATGTGTGACAAGCATTGGGTATAGTATAGAAAGCAGAAAAGCTTTAAAAAAATATATTTAAGACTATCATTTATAAGAAAGGGTTACCATCTGTTGAAAAAATAAATAAATCTGAGCTAAGCGTGACAAATTGTGTTTGCATCGAATGATATTCATGAAAGTTTTGTTTTTAAAAAAATTGGATTGTAACGAAAAATTATTTTCTATTGTATATTATCTAAATATATTGAATCATAATAGACACTTTTTTCTAAATTACCTGAAAAGAGTTCCAAAAACTTTTCCACACCGTAATTGCCTGGAAATCGATAACTCGGATCCCTGATCGCATTCATATTATGCACCTTGATGCGCTTGATCATGAATGTTATATTATCTGGCTTGCCATCATTGTTGAAATCTGTTTCAAAATTATTACAAATATGAAGAAAAGATACTAATCTATCTATATCTATTCCTGTGCACACTCCGAACTCACCCGTATTCTTGTAGATCGAGTTTGCGCGTTGCACGTGTCGCGTGATCGCCTCAATGCTAGCCTCGTCGGAGCCCATCTTCTGAAAAAATGTGTGATCGGCTTGCAGATATAGCATACACGTGATCTTGCGATCGTACATCGATTGTGCGCTATCCTTAGAATTTGTCTCGTACGCAGCATCACGACCACGCCCACTCAGCAAATTTGTCATCAGCATGCTGTTAAAATGTGGATTTTGTGGATTCGGCACTAACATAATATCCGGATTATAATTATTCACAATGATATTCGGTTTCTTCGTGGCGCCATTTTTCGTTATGATCTCGACGTGTGTCTTATGACTGGGACGATCGTTGTTGTTGTTGGTGAACATGGTGGACCAATTCGTTTGAAAGAAATTGTTAGTGTCGAAACGATTATTTATGTTGTAATTATAGTTAACGCCATTATTGTTGTTTGCGTTGTTGTTGTTGCCACCGCCGTTGATGATAAAATCGTAAGGATATGAACGATTATTGCTGCTGTTGCTGTTGTTATTATTATTGTTGTTGTTTTTGTTGCTGTAAGTGCTAACAATGATATTCTTGTGCTTGGCATAGGTTTTGCGCAAGCCATTGTTATTGTTACTGTTATTATTGTTATTATTGTTGTTGTAGTTAGTGTTGCTATTGCTATAACTATTGCCAGGATTGTAATTGTTCACAAGGATATTGCGATTCTGCACACCACCACCAGAAGTGGACGCATTCGCTACAATAAGGGACGGAACATAGGAGTTACTTCTCGTACTGTTGTTGTTGTTGTTACTGTTGTTACTGTTGTTATCACTATTGGCACTATTCACATTGCGCAGCAATTCACCATATCTGTCGGATGTTTCTTTATCGACAGCGGCCACACTACGCCACGTTGTTGTTGTTGTAGTTGATTGCTGATATCTGTTTCGTTGCTGTTCCCTATTATAATTATACTCCCGGTTATTGTTATTGTTGTTAGTTACACTTTTCGTTGTAGTGATCTCTTCTCGATCTTGATCCCGATCTCCATCGCGATCCCGTTCGCGGTTCTTTCCGCGTTCTTGCTCTCGAAAGCGTCCACGGCTGCCGCCAGCCGCAAAAATGCTGAAATCGTCATTGTAGGGCACGTCCAAGTCCAATGGCAGCGGCGGATTTTGATGGTCATCGCTGGTTGTGGCCAACTGCGTGCAGAGAAAAGATAAAAGGACGGAAGCGTATAAAATAAAATGTACAATCGATGAATGTCAATAGCATGAGTTGGGTCGTCGTCAACAATGCCAGCCCAATTATGCACAATTATGCTACATTGTTCTTTGTGTTGTTGCTAAGTAAATGAGTATTCGGGTAATTGGTTTTACTCTTTAAATTACATACCTCATCCGGCAGCCAACGCTTGTGACGCTCTAGCGACTTTGACGCTTCCGCTTTGGTGGTGACCGCTTTCCGTCGCTTCAGATCGTTCAGCAGCATGTCGCGCCGCAGTCGTTCACTGGCGCAGTGCTCGGCTGTCGCCGACTTGCGTATTTGCACATCGCTGACTTTGTAAATGACACTGTGCACACCCGATGCGGGCAAATTGCTTGAATAGCGATGCGCTGGCTCCACATAGTAGTGCTCACCGGCCGTTTCGATGGTGCCATCGAGCAGATTGTCGCTGGTGAGAATGGCATGCACATGCGAGTTCTCATCACCTGAAATGAAAGCAACACACATACATATAAGCATTTATTATAATTGTTATATATGGCTGTTAATCATGTTAGGCCTTATGAAATAATTGCGTTCAGAGTGATTTAAACACATAGCTAAGTGAAACTATATGATTATTATAGTTTAAATACTCACGACCGCACCTAAAAAGTGTGGACAGGTTTACCAATCTTTTGGTGGTTGCAGGAATATGAATAGGTGCATTTGCACATGTGATCATAAAAAGGTTAGTTCACACCAAATTCCCTTTTGCTTCATTAGCCATTTTCATATCTAAACAATTGGCAAAATATGACTAGCTAAAATAACAAAATGCTTCTAAAACTCGAGCACAAATACAGTTATTTAATTTGGCAATTAGCTTTAAACATTTTTTTATGCCGAGACTGGAAGCACCCGCTTGGCATCAATGGATGTTGGTCCAATTTAACTATCTACCTATCTACTAGCTACCAACTACAACGCAAGTATTTGAAATATTAACACCGTGTGCTATTCAAAGAAGTGCCTACATAACGTTGGTCAGCTAGTCCATCGAAGGCTTTCATTAGCCTCTGAGATACAATACAATTGAACTTCGAATTTTCTAATATGTAGTTATTTATGGATTGATAAGCTTTAAAAAGTAATTGGATATTTTGAAATTAAAAATAAAAAATAAACTACAATATATTCTTAATATGGTTTTGATATACATATAATTGAAAGCTCCAATGTTAGTGTTAGATCTTAATCGTCCAAAGTAAAAAGTTTGTGTGTATCTGTTTTGTATTATTTCTTGACTCAAATCGACCTTTGGTTGAATAATTCTGTAATAAAAGAACTGAGTTTAACGCTATTGCAACAATCAGAATATCCAGAAAGAAACGTCAAAGACGTCAGATATATATAATTGATCAACGTGACAAGCTGCGTCGATTTAGCCTATAATATATATATTATAAGAAATGCATCTGTGAAGTGTTTTATAGCTTCGGTGCAGCCGAAGTTAACGTTTTTTCTTGTCTTTGAATTAAATTTCATATACAGCAATTTTTACTGAAATAATAGCTAAGTGGTTTCCGTGCGCCAAGATTCCTTCGAAGTTAGCTGCGAAACGGATTCGTATTTTTTATAGCAAAATTTGTATATATAAGTATCTAGATTAATATCGAAAAGCACGAGTACTTTATGAAGCTAAAAGTCTGCATGGTTTGCCGTCCATCTTTATTTTAAGGAAATAGAAAATTAGTCTAACAAATAAGTGTTTCTTAATCTCTTAACACTTCTTGACAATTGAATACTGCAAACAAATTGGCAACTCACACATTTTCGCTACACAATTTCACAATAAATCTTCAATTAAAAAATAGCTCAAAAATATTTACTTGAATCAATGCTAAATTACCCGTGGTTATAAATCCTTTTAATGAATTTTGAAAGTTACACCACAAAAATGAATGAATTTACAACCTAGACGATAGTAATCACATATACTCATACTAAATACACACCCAAGAGTGTGTATGGATGGGTACAATGAGAACTTTGCCGAAAAGAAATAGCCCGAGTATGAGGATGAGATTGTGTCAAAAGTTTCCGAAAACAATAATGAATTTATTAAGAGCGACAACCATAAGTGAGTGTGTAACGGCACATCAATGACAAGCACAAACAAGCAAACACTTGTAGGAAGTGTGTGTGTATGTGTATGTAAAGAGAATAAAAATAAGGCATATATACTCGTATATGAAGAGGTACAAGTACTTTGGGAGGACTCCTGCTCAAAAACTTCCTTCGGAACTTTGTTGTTCTTTACTTTGTTCGGCTTTGTAATTTTATTTTTAATTTTTAGAATTTTTGTTCTTTTCTTCGTACCTCTTGATTTTTCATTCACGTTGTTTAAGACTTTGTACCTGCTTGCTTGTTTGCAAAAGTATGTGTGTGTATGTGCGGTATAACTTTATGCGCCAGCTGCATAACCAAATAAATGAGGTAAGCTGGAAGTGGTGAGGAATGCGAATGTGGGGAATACTCCGAAAAATTTTTTCAAATTCCTATGGAAAGAAGCTTAAGAGCAAAAATTTTGCTATGACTAAATTATACAAAGACTGCCTGCTGGCGTGAGCCAGACTTGCTGACTCGTTGCTGTTAGCTGCTGCTTCTGCTGCAGTTGCCGTTGCCGTTGCCTTCACAACGAATGCGTTGCGCCATAATAGCGTTGGTTGGGAGAATATAAAGTCGAAAAAAATGAAGCTAGTTAGTTTGTGGGCACTCCATACTTACACCTCGGCCTGTCTATGTGCATTAGGGTTGTTATTTAGTTTGTTGCTAAATTTTTGTGTACATTTTTTGCAAATTGAAAATGTTGTTCCTTTTTTCAGCTGATTCTGCGATTATGTTATAGATTTCTACAGATTTAGTTTATATACAGCTTACACATAGTATAAACTCGACGAAAAGAGCACCAAATCTAGATACTTGATATGAAAAATTGTCGCGAGAAGAACAGAAATAAACGGTTGTAGGGTTACAGTAATACAGGTAAGAAGGCAGATAATAACGATTTGTCACTTTATTACTAGCTAAATTTGACTAGATTTGAGCATTGAAGAAAATTAAAAATAAAAGCGATAACAGAGTCAAGTATATATGAGTTAAATGCAGCACTGCAGAGTTTATGGACACATCTTTAAGATGATAGCATTGCTTGAGTTCGACTGGCTATTCTTCAAGGCTTACCTTATATGCGAAATATTTTGAAGAATATGCTTAAATTTGGGGGCTATTGATACCAAAAAGAATAAGAAAAAACGTTAACTTTGGTTTCACCGAAGCTATAATACCCTTCACAAATAAAATAGTTTCCATCCAAGAACTTGATTTGATCGGTCAGTTGGTATGGCAGCTATATGCCACACATAGTCCGATATAAATAATTTTTTGGATATTTTAACGTTATCTTAGACATTTAAGGTAGATTTTTCGACAAATACAAAAATTTGCCATAAAGGCACTTTTTTGGTTTAGATCGTTTAGTTTGTTTGTCAACTATATGCTATAGTTGTCCGATATCGGCGGTTCCGGCAAGTGAGCAGTAACTTATAGAGAAAAAGACGTGTGCAAAATTTTAGATCGATATCTTAAAAACTGAGGAAGAGAAGACGGACATGGCTAAGTAGATTCAACTCGTCAAGCTGATAATTTATGATATTATCATATTAAAAACACCCCTAATAATCGTGCATACCAAGCATAGTCGATTACGGTATGCGTGCAAATGTGTCTGATATATGCATACAAAAATTGAAAACCAAGAAGGAGTGGTATGGCATAACGCGAAATTTCACAGGCATAAAGTTAGAAATTTGTGCATGGCGAACAGCTCGCTGCAAGCTGCCAGCCGGAAAATAGGAATTGGTAACTGATGAACTGCAGAACTGAAAAGCTGACTTAACTCACATTTCAGTGGGTAGGGAAATTTATGAATACGTGTGCGCGTATGTACATACAGAACGCACAGAAGCGAGTTGATTGCTAACAATGTGTGTATGAATGTGTGACAGTGTGTGTGTATATATTTGTTCAAACAGAAGTTGAATCAGCGCAGGATGCGTGAATGAATTGTCAGTCTCATAGGCAATGGCGCAAACAACGAGTTGAAAGCTTTGCGTTGAGCTTGAAGTGGAAGCGACATGATGAATGTATAGGTGTGTGTAGGTGCGTGTGGATTTGTGTGAAAAATTCCGATGAGTTAATAAACTTTTATTTGTTGTACGTGCCAGAAAGGTAGCAAATGTTATTATATCAACTAAAAATATTCGTTTTCCCCACCAGTTTACATCTACTCCTATATGTAAGTAGCACGCGCTATTGCGTGAACATCGCACATGTGGTGAAAAAGCGTTTTATTAAATCCAAGTTTGGCGAAAAATCGGATTTGCTTACGCGTTGTTAGGATTTATGCTATGTTGCGCCAAAATCGCTTCCAGCCGTGCAAAGTTGATGCTAGGCATGTTGCTAATTTGCCAGTTGCCTGCCTTTGCAAGGAGATATATACCATACATACCTATATATGTATGCGTGTGTGTGTATTGCGTCAAATTTGCAGCTTTGCTGCGTTCTTTGGAATTTTTGTTAGCCCCATTGCTGTGGTTGTTGCTCCGCTGCATGCATGCCAAAGCTGCTATGCGCACAACACAATCGCAACAACAGTGGAAACAAAGTAGGCATACAACACCAACAAAAATTACAATGAACACACAAAAATGGTAGTAACATACTAGAGCAGATGTACACACTCATGCGCACACAGGGAGAGAGATAAGGCAAAGAACATTCCTCAAATTGCTTGGCAGTCAGTGTGTTGCACAGATGAGTGAGCAGTGGCACGACTAAATTACATGCACACACAAACACGTATGGATGCATAACAGAAATGTGTAATTGACGCAATAAAGCTGGCTGACAGCCACTTTAAGTAGACGGCAAAAATTGAGGCACTGTAGAGGAGGTGAGAATCGAAATTGCCACCGTAATGCTGTGCTATATCAGGCAGTGTGTCACATAAATTACTTGCCAACACAATGACTGGTATTTATTTTGCCTTTTACTTTTATTAAACATACAAACAAATATACATACATTCATAAATACATGCATATGTATATACATTAGGGTGATCGTTATTTTCCAATTCAATATAAACCGTGTCTAAATCATTTTACTTCCACATGTCTATAACATGGGATTTTTTGATATTTTACATTAAACAAGTAAACCTAGAACTTTGAAAAAATGATATTCTAGTACAAAATATTACGCTCTACAAAAAATTATTTTTTTAAAACTAAAGGAGTGGTAGAGGAGAAGTTATATGCAGTTTTAAATATACATCAAGTGTACTAACCATGTATATAGTACACCATGTCGTATGAGCAACAAAGAATTTATGAAGCACATGTGTGAGTGCTCAGTAAATTTGTTGAATAAGTTTAAAGGC